TTATCCTAGAAAATGGTTGATATTTTATCCAAAATAGTCAAATAGGGACATTGTCAAAAGAATTATATATGCAAAAATTGCTGCAATTTTGACAAAAGGTGTAAATGATAGTTTATGTAAATCGTCTTATGTCCCCGGCTTCTCTCTCTCTCTTAGAAGATGACATTATTACCAAATCATTGACATTTGGCCCAAAACGTGCGGTTACAACTAGATATTGAGCGTGAACTGAATATTCTGAACAACACAATTAATGCCATTTAGAATTTATATGATTATACTTAAATAGATTAAAGTATGCAGGATCCGTTCCCTCGTGGTTGGTGGACTGTCAGTAAGTCATTTTCATAAAATGGTTTGGTGTCCAGCAGCTTTGCTGCATTTTCTTGTTAAATAAGCATTGCTGTTAAATAATGGGACCATAAAAAATTAACATATTCATGTTCAAGAAAAACTTATTTCTATTTTTAACCGTTAAACATAAAACTACGTACAAAGGGGAATAACTCGCATTAAGAATAACGACAGCTAGGAGTCGTCGTGAAATAAACTTCAAACAATCAATAATGAAATAGATATACTTCTATCATTCTTTGATACCCACAAGCTCTGAAATAATTACTTTTTTGTAAAGCTATATTTACAAACACCTTTTACGACATAGCTTTGTGGTGCGACCATACTGTCCATAGATGTTTTGTAAAACTGTATTCGATTGGTCCGTTTCGTAATCGGTGAATATTTTCACGGACGCTCGTGTTGCAGCAAATATAAATTTACCATAACTATTTCAGATTTTACAAACATAGAATTACACTTTCCTGATGATGAGATGATCATGTATCGATAAAAGCATTCCATATGCCACAAAAAAGTCTTCTTCAGCAATGTGAGGTCCTCGGTAGTTTGTCCAATCAGCTGAAAGTATACATTTATCCTTCGGCATGGACAGTCTGCTTCAGGAAAATAAGTCTGCAAGATTCGTTTTATGATGGAAATGAAAATGCCCCATTCTACAGCAAAATGCGGCGACCACGTCTATCAGAGCTCATATGTACAAAGGAAAACGGCTTCCGACGGACTTGCAACTGTGTCGGTTGGTTTGCATCCTCAGATCTAGACTAAAAATCAGTATAAATCTGATTTTTCTGATCGGTGTATAATCTTGCAGCCTCTCTGGAGAGAAGCCATAGGTATCATTGGAATAACCTTTTCACAAAACACCAGGTGTTGTCTACGTCACCTTCCCGAATTATTAGCTGATTTGTCTGTTTAGTTGTGATTGAGGAGTGTCACTTTGATTGTGATGTCATTTTTGCGTGAGAGCAGTATGGAGGTGGACCCCCCAGCCAGTCAGCCAGGGGCACCGGGGACTTTAAAACGTTCCAACAGCGCTCCAATGATCAACGTATTGGTATCGTCGATAGAACCTCACGTTCAACAGGAGTTTAGGTACACGGACAAATAAATAATAACACAGCAATGTTTAGATTTATACCATTATATTAAATGTTAAACCAAATGCCTCTCTTGAGACAAAGTTGTAAATACCCTACAGTATCAATCCGTCAATACGCAGACCTGTCTTGCCAACTTTTATGATATCTTCTCGTTATTTGATATGCTATCTTCGAACCTCCGGATAATCACCAGATCACTATGTATATATCTAATATCAAATTTATTTGTTCTTGGTTACAGCTGCCATTTTTCTTAAATTATATTTCCTTCTGTAATGTCAGATTTCCAAACATTAAGCATATTTTTATATTCAATCTAGTTTTATAGTAAAATGGATTGTCAGTTGGTCTGCAGCAGCAAATTGTATCATTTATGATACCAGCCTGTTAAATCAGGAACAAGCCAATCATTGTTCGAATTCTAGTCTGAAGAGTAGGATATTTTGGTACTTTTTTTGTCGAGGCGACAAAGAGCGGGAGAACCTTTAAATGTGAAATCAGCAACACACAGTACACAAAAACCAAACAAATCACAAGATTGAAAAGTAAGTCAAAAATGCTACAATTTTTTTTATAAAATGTTAAGAAAAACTACTCTGTACGGTAACGACTGAGTACCAAACATCTCTACCTCCGTTTTGCCCTATTACTCGCTTGCCTAGGGTCAATTTGTAATTTGACCTACTACTGATATTTGTTGAAAATCAATTATAGATGTCTAAATTTAATTCCATTTATGCTCAAATATGGTTGAAACGCCCTACAGAATACATTAATACATTTTTCTGACCATATGATTGTCTTGATGTCTGAAAATGCCGACAATATATGTGCGTTCTGACAGTAACTTCTAACTCATACTATAAAAAGATCAGCACTAACTTGTGTTGCAAATTTTTATAGCTTACATCGGGTACGTTACATATATGAAAAACTTGAATAGAACTAAATTATAAATACAAATTTGATACAAGATAAGGTGCATTGTATATGTCGACAACATTTTATGAGTGTAGCGCAGATTTAAGGGGTAAAAGGGAATGCTGACCCACGGGACAGACAGGTTTTAGGGGGAAATAAACCCTGAACCATATTTAGAAGCCAAGAATATGATTGACTTGTATGGAGACAGTAATGTCATGAATGAAGTAGAACTTATAGAAATGTTTTTTTTAACTGCTAGCTGGATATTTTATTAATGATCATCATATGATTTTCTTTTCCAGTCCGCCTTCCTTCAGGTCTGAAGATTCGACGAGGATAAGGAGATTCAGTTACAGCTCGATGTGCCTTAACAGCCCTAGTGCTGTCTCCGTAAGATCCCTTGATAATCTTCAGTGCAAATGTGCTAAAACAGATTTCTGTGACAGTAATGTTTTCTACTGCTGATAATTCACTATATACAATATCACTTAAAGTGATTTAAGGCTCCCCAGTTGGATTGAAGTGTGTTAACAAATTAACACTGTGTGGAAAAGTTGACAACACAAACCAATAATGATATTCCACATACTGTTAGATAAATGACCAAAAAGCTAATTAGAGTTATAACTTATAAGTGCAGTCACTCTACAGGTATTTCCTCACTGTACCAGAAAAAATACTCGCCAAAGAGTAACATGTAATATAAAATTTCCTGATGGGGTTTGTGATAAAGCTGGTCAGTGTCTTATACCTACCTGCAAGCAGTAATTTATTGAATTTTGTGACTTCTATCAGCTTATGTAATGCCATTGTCCTTTTATTTTCCAGACTACTATTTCATTGTCATGTTACAGGCTCCTGTGAAGGTCCCTGACCGTGTGAATCGTCTCAAGCTGGAGGAGAGTCACATTGGGGAAAAGGAGAGGCAACATGAAAAGTGAGCTATATATTTCTATTTATATATAGAGGTTCCCCAATGACTGGTGGTTGGTTATCATGTTTATCTAACTCGAGTTGTTCATCTTCAAATTGTATAAAGACACAAGATCTACTGAGTGTCTTTTACAATTTGAAAATTAACCTACGAGAGTTTAGATAGATGTGATAACTAATCATCACGAGACCTATTTCTCCCATAACGTTCGTATTTTATCTGAAATAACACAATTTTTACTTGGGGAAAATACATCATGTTTGTTTCCAATGAGGGAAACAATTGCCACGAAGTATGACATCACAATGGAAAATGACGTCGAAAAGCATTAATATGCGACGTCATCAATAAAAGATTGACCAATGCAATTGTGTCCAGGGTGTTACTCACTAGCGGGTAACTAAAAATGTTAACCTACTCCTAGCAGGTTTATCCAATGAGTCGGGAGTGAGGAAACCTACAGTGGTTGTGGGAGAAACTGATATTCTTTATCTATGCACCTAGTTAAGTGAAAATTTGAATGTAAAAAACGTCATTTTTTTCCAATGAAAGAATGATGAGATTTAAATTGAACAAATTATCAGATGTTTATCAAACTATATCATTCCCTGCTTGAAACCATGTTATTAATTATGATGAATATGCATATAGTGTTACCTCATTTACATTAATGGGGAAAATGTTTTATTAAATTAATCATGGGAATGTAATATGTATATACCTAAATTCATTGGAAAGAGAGTCAATTTTGATTTGAAATGCATTATGATCCTTTTTTTTGCCTTTTTTTAATAGGGAAGTCAGCTCGGCCATCAAATTATCAACATCTTGGGATGAACTCACTTTGGTAAGATTGATAATAATTAATCAGAATAGTTAAAAATGTTTAAACTGATAGGTCAAAATGAATTATATTATAAAGTAAAAGCTCCTTAGCTTGGTCAAAACACAACAATTTGGTAAATCATATCTCAGGCAAAAACAAAAATATATTCAGTTTAGGGTTGCATGGGCAAAAAAAGTAGGGTAGATAGGTCGGATTTTTGTTTGATTTTTTTGTGGGTATATTTTTGGTCATGTGATTATGACCCTACTATTGTATGTAAAACAAAGAATTACATAAACAAGGTTCATTTGGAGGCAAATTGTGCTCCATATGATGACAATTAGCGTCATCACGGAGCTGGAAGCCATTTTTAAAGGCAAGGAACCTTCTAAAATTCGAAAATCCGCGGGTTTTTAAAAAAAATCAAAAAGTTTTGGGTCGGGGGTAAAAAGCTAGGGTCGATCGGGAACCCTAAACAGACACCTTTTTTTTTTGGCCTCATCTTCAATTGAAAGGGAGATATATCTTTTATTAGTTCTGTTAGTAGTTCTCTTATGGTTCTTCTTATAAAGATCTTCTCTGATGACACTTAAAGTATAGCTACATCAATCACATAAGGTGAGGTCAGTGTGACTTCATTTCTACATGTAGGTCAAAGGTCATTAGGTAAACCTTATTATTTTTAGGTAATATACTACAGTATATAGATATATCGATTTCAAGTCATCGGAGATTTTACTACGAAATCTGAAGATTCTTGAAGTATAACCAATTAAAGGTGTGCAGCGCACTCAATTTAGGTCACTTACCTTCGTCTCAAGGTCAAAGTTCAATCAATCGGTGCAAAACGTTCATGAAATTTAATGTAGCTTGTAAATTTTACTGTTAAAAGATGTTTTAATGAAACATATCAGAAGATGTTTTTGAATTACAGCAACTGCATTTTATATTAAGTTCAGAGGTTCTAGTAATTATGAAGAAATAATCTTACGATTGGCCGGATTTAATTTCTACCTTGCTTTTGTTTTTGATAGGATGACCAAGAGCCTATGGAGCAGTTAAAGCGACCTCGGTCCTTCAGCGAGTCCCTTCACATCTTCACGTCTCCCAGTGTACTGATGGCAGGGGCCCCTTCGCCTACACGAGTGGGAAAGGTAACACATCAGTTACAATTTAACATCTGTGTGTCTACTTAATATGTGTACTTTGTAGATAGATAATTGAAACTATAAAATTAATCGCCAACCAAACATGTTAACAGTTATGAACCATATTCTCATAATTTATTTTCGTCATTTACAATTTAGAAATTATTCATTTTCAGCAATGCTTCTCCCCATCCATGCAGATTCCTGTTAAGAATATTTCATTTACACCAAGCCCTAGCCCTAGTCCGACTCGCAAGACATTTATGAGGTAAGTCAACAGCTCAAGCATGACTCTTTAAGACTTGTGTTAAGTAATTGAGTTATGGCTCTAGTGTAAAACACTGAAGACTTTCGTGAAGTAAGTAAGTAACAGCTCAGGTCCAACTCTGAAGATTTCACAAGACTTTGCAGAGTTAATAACGGCTATTATATGTAGAGGCATCACGATTCACTGCGATGCACTTGTACCGCGATTATTTATGTTCGATTCAATTCTCAATATATTTTTCCATATTTTCGATACGTCATGAACTGAATATTAGTGTATGCCGCTTCAGGCAAAACGTCTGTGAGACGTTCAATTTCATTGGCTGATCTCTAAACCCTCAACCAATCGGCTGCGAGGATGCAATTTTCACAAAGCATTCATAACAAAATGGCGGACCGCCGTAAGGAAATGAAAATTTGTGACGCACCGGCAAGCTTCAAATCAAAAGTGTGGAAACACTGCGGGTTTCCGTGTATCGAAGGCTTATATATCTCATTATGTTTGTATTTTAAAATAAAGGTGTATCGAATCGTGGTACAAATATCGAGATACGTATCAAATCGTGGGTAAAGTGTATCGTGACAGCTCTACTTATCTGACTTCCACGACTTAATGAAGTAAATCAGTATTGGCTCTAGTCCATCACTAAAGACTTCCATGAAGTAAGTTGGTTGCAGCTTTAATCTGACTTTCCAGACTTCCACGAAGTATTTCAGTAATGATTCTAATCCAATACTCAAGACTTGCATGAAGTAATTTATTTACGTCTCTACGAGTCTGACTTTCAAGGCTGATTGAAGCAGTTATTAGTTTTTGATTGCCTAGTGTCTTATTGAAGTTACATAGATATGTATATATGCCAGTCCTTTTCAGGAAGTTTGTGTTTCTAGACATTTTTTTTCCCTTTTCACAGGAGTATGAGTCCGATTGTTGTGAATCGTCCTAGTCCTGTGGGTAAAAGGAAATGTAAGTTTGGGTGTCATAATCTTACATGCATGCTGGAGTAATAACAATTTTATAATTACAAAGTGTTATTGGTAGCTTAATTACGCTGTTTTTGTCAGTGATGAGCTGTGATCGCCATGTGTCCATGCTGTGGTAAAATAGTTTTTGAAGAATCAAGTGACCACTTGTCAAGCGTTACAATAATTTCATGTGGCCTCTGGTGTTTTCATTAATACTCAAATAAAAGTTTAGATTTAGCCGAAAAAGATTCTGACTTGTAATAAATTTTCAAAATGTTATAGTTTTATGTTAATGAGTCCTGTGAGATAACTTGTTTCTGCTGACAGTGGATACAGACCCAGAGAACTACCTGAGTCCGCCCAAGAGATTCCACTCTGGACCTAGCACACCAGACAGGATTCTACACCATCCACTCGCTCACAGGTATGTGTCCCAGTAAAAATGCTGACATCAATTCATTTTCTCTTCACCTGTGTTTCCTGAATGTTTCCCAATCCCAATTTTGCTATCCCAATTCATCATCAAGATGATGTTCAAACTTGTTGTCCATCTGACTTTGGCTGTTACAGATGATAAATTGAAATATTAACTCATTCACCCCTGAAATTTCATAATGGACTATTCCAACCTTTTAATTGGAAGAGCTCAAATGCGTCTTCAGGGGTAAATGAGTTAAGGGATGGTATAAAAAAAAAATCAAAAAAATCATAACCATATCACACAATCCTTGATAGTTGTGTAGTTTGATACTCCTTACGAGTAATAAATGCAGAGATTTTGATAAAAGACCATGGTTTTCTTGGTGTTCTTGATTAATAATATTCGGGAAATCTGTTTGTTAATTAATATATATTTGATTCTTGTTTGCATTGCATTTCGTAATTTTACTGGTAGAGCAAAAAAAAGAGTTTTGATAATGAAGTCAAACTAACCGTATAGGCTCATTTCATGCAGCATGTTGACCTCCAGATGATGTGGTACTTGCTTAAGCTGTGTTACGTTTGACATTGATTTAAACTTGCTACCTGCAAGAGATAAAACTGACCACAATTTCAGTTACAAAAGCTTTGGTTGGAGAGTTATAGTTCGGGAAGAATGTTAATGTCTCCGGCGACATTTTCTAAAAAAGGAATGTTCTGAAATAAAGGATGTGCCTACTGTTGTCATAACACTGTTAATGAATTCTTGTCTTGACAGGCGGGGTTTACGTCCTGTACGCATTGAATGTTTGGTTCTATAAGTTACCTTTTGTACGAATAATGTATAAAGGGCAGTTTCTGAATGGTGCCATGTTTCCATTGAGTTAATTGACAAGATAACGCCATGGACTATTAAGTTATCAATGAAACTGTAGAAGACACCTTGTTGTTTAATGACAGGAGCGACGACAGTAAATTTCAACCTGTATATCTGTAAAAAATTGCTCCGAAGCCAGTGTTAAGTATCAAGTGACACTTTATAGACTCGACGCGCGTAAAAGTTTAAAAAAATAAAGTTTACATATCGGGTCATCTTAAGATGGCTAATAGGTAAGATTATATGAATATTATGTAATATAAATTCGGGAAGAATGTTAATGTCTTATCAAAATTGTGTCTGACATAAAAATTCTGTCGGTTCATCAATCCCAGCATTTCTGTCAATACCCAGACTGGACATAAACGATGACCTTTTCTCTCCTACAGTAGTATTTCGTCAAGCAGTCTAGAGGAGGGAAGTCCTGATCAGACAGTGCCCCGCTGTGAAGGGATGAATGAGGTACCAGCACAGGCAAGGCTGCCACCACACATGTATGGCTTCATGCCGCTCCACGACTCGCATGAAATGCAGACCACAGACTCGGAAACATCGGACATTGCTGAATCAGCAGATTTGTCAGACCACAATCTATCGTTATCAGGAAGCCCCGGGAGCAGTCGAGGTTTCCAGCCAATCAGACAGCAGCACACGTCCTTATGACCCTGGTGCTCATCGGAAACTTTTTAGACGATAGACCTCTTGCCTTTTCTTTCAGGCACTTCTAACAGAATTAATTAGTTCTTATTTCTGAAAAGAGAGCTAACTATTAACTGTAGTATTAGCATGTGTTGGAAGATTGTTCAGAAGATTTGGCAAATGTTAAATTTTGTCTGTGATAAAGATTCGTTGAACCGGAGCTGTGACTGCAAAGGGAGATAACTGTGTAAATCATGCGACACAGAGATGATTGGAGACGATTTTGTTATGTCTCCACTCATTCAAGGGGAGGCAATATTCTGTAAATATATCTTGTTATTAATTTTTGTGGTGCTGATCATTATTATTCTAATAATGTCGATGATATCTAGATATTGTTTGTTTCTGACCCCATTTGGGTACTGATGTATATCTGGGCCTGTACTAAGTCACATTGTCATATAAAACGTAGCTTCACCTGTTCAGTGTAATATTTACAGCACATATGTCATAAGCTGGTGATGGGTAATACACACTTAAACAATAACATGAATCGGTGAAGTATATACATAGGGCAAGCTCGGTCACACCTGTTTTCATCTCCTTCTGACTAACATAGACTTTTCATTTTCAGATATAACTTTTTTCTACGCCAGATTTTTGTGCATTTGTTATACATTTAAAGATATTGGAGTCAAGACTGATAGGTATTGAAAGAATTTTAACCCCCAAAAAAGTTACATTGTGTAAGTTTTAATTTAAAAAAATCTTTAATACATGTTTATATGTAATGTACAAATCATTAAAGAAAGAAACATGTCGTACAGCATACAGAAATTCAATCGAAGAATCAAATCTTGTTAATTGGCTTTTATTTGTGAAAATCAAGTTAAATTTGTTTTTTAATATGGAGTAGTTCCTTTCATTTCATGTAAATCTGCTTACGATAAAAGTGGAAGATTTACTACAATTCATAGACTCCGTAAATGTTTAATATCGGTATTGAAAGGAAAAACATTAATCCATTTTAAGACCAAATGTGTTCATCACATATTGGCTAGGAAATTGAAGACATATTTTTCCATTGGACTTTTAGACATTAAAATTACTGTATTCCGGGAAATTTTGCCTTTTTCGCGGTCTGTAATGAGAGCAAATTTAGTATTCCAGGAAACATAAGTAAACATAAATAAACAACATAATATACATCGAAATTAAAGAAGAATGATCAATTCAACATTGGGCGAAAATGGAATTTACCGTCAATGGGCAAAACAATATTCCAGTATACCGTATATATATTATTATTATACCTTTCTTCTTTTTTACACGATATAAAAGTAGAAAAAAGAAATGCTATCCAAAATAACCCCTTTCAAGAAACTATTTACCAGGTAAATAGTCAGTAGAGCTATTTAACCTGCTTTCAAATTTTCGCGGAATTTTTGGCTTCGTTCATTCTGATTTGTTGTTGGTATAATAAAATATTTATTTTATGGGTATTTTGGGGAATAGCACTTTTATTGTCCCCCGAGACATGAACTATTTCCCTCGGCTTCACCTCGGGAAATAGTTAATGTCTCGGGGAACAATAAAAGTGCTATTTCCCTCACACCGAAACAATAACTGTATAATATCTGAGATGATATTTGACTATCACCTTGTTATGTTTGTTTGTCCCGATCAATAGTACGTACATATCAGTTGGTAGTGTGCTGCAGTGATTTCTCCGCAAGTCCTAACTACCTCTACACTAGAAGTGAGTGTATATATATAACATCATCTTCAAAATCCAAGGATTCTGCTCTCTGTATACTGTAATCGGGAAAGTTTCCCCGTTTTTGCCCTCTGAATTGGGGCGAATTTATCATTACAGCAAATTGTAGTCAAAAACATCATTTACATAGTAATTAAAAGTGAAAGGCGAAACTAACACTGGGTGAATTTTGATTTCACAGGGTAAGGGCGAAAGTTTGACTGGGCCAAAATTTCATTGTATATATACTGTTAAAATCTTCTCTTCACCCTTTGAATATGGCGTGACAAGATTGAAGGCTCTTTACGCAACACCTTACGGATAATTCAAATAGACTTGTCTCATATCTGTTAAAATGATGAAAGGGAATTTCGCGGCAGCAAATTCAGCAAAGGACAGGTATCAGCCTGCCATTTGAACAGGTTTTTAGACCTGAATCAAATCAAGTAGATTACCTGAGCCTTCATTTTTGTCGTGACATATATGAGAAGGCAGAGAAGGTGTGTATAATATCAAGAGGAGAACCCATGGATTTCCGTGGTGATAGACCCAATGTGCAATAACGATTTACACCATTATCATTACTTCTCACCTTGTTATGAACTTAGTGTAGTCTGGCATACATCAACTGCACAGTAGTTTTAACTTCATGATAAAAAACCAAAGTTGAATTGCTCATTTTTGTCTCGCCACCAGGAAGTAGTGGAAGTGGTGTTCCTTTTCCGGTGGCGGCATCAACATTAAGTTTTTGCGTTTAACTTAGTTTCAATGAAAGTATAAGTGCTAGACCAACCAAACTTGGACCATAGATGCATCTTATGTAGTATATCTCAACCAATGCATCAAATGCTGGATGCGGCCTACCTTTCATGGTCCATTGACTTTGTCAGCATCTCCATCAACATTAAGTTTTTGCGTTTAAGTTAGTTTCTCTGAAACTATAAGTGCTAGACAGACCAAAGTTGACATGTGCATTGATGGTCAAAGTAGGGCACAGGCGAGACATATCAATCTGAATGGCTTGTTAATAGAAAAGGATTTAATGTCGACTAATGCACAGCGAGATCACATGATTTTGCAAATGAGTGATACATTTTAGGCAAATTTGGCAGACATATCTTGAGGATAATTTCTACCGTACAAATTATACTTGTGATATGTGATTAAGTAGTCTCCCTTGACATTTTTAAATTAGCTTAAAAATAAAACAGCAAAATTTCCCATTTTACGGTATGGTACGAGTGTCTGTGTCAATTTTAAACACAGAAGGCCTAGGTTTGATTAGGATTGCATGCTTTTTTGGGGTGCAATCATGGAGGGTGGATGTATGAAGGTGTGTCAAGTGTACATATGTATCATTGTATGACTTAAGATAACTTAATGTGTTCAAGGTGTAACTGTACAGTGTTCTCCATACAGATTAGGCCTATAACAAGTGACACTGTTAGAAACTGGCCTCACCAGGCTGACTCGTAACAATCTTCAAAAACGTAACGCATCATATTTTGTGAGATACACCAGAAGTCATCAGAAATTGTAAGATCCTTCTAATTGGGAAAAAAAAATAAAAAAATCGGCAGTAGCAAAATATATCCAGGTGCTGCGCCTAGCTAGAATGGTCTTTCAACGAGTACACTGGTGCTCTGTTTGCTTTATTTGCCTTTGTAATGCTTCATTTAGTTCCAAGTTTGTGATAAATATATAACACTATCGTTATAACCATTGAATTATAGAGAGTTTTCGGTTACGAAGTATTGTTACCAATAACCCTGGCCCAGTCAATTGATGTATGTGATCAAATTTTTTATGTAAATATTGTATTTTTGTATATTGTGATTTTAAACAATGTCTGTATGAGAGAGAGCTTCAAGTTTTGCTGCATAATTAACACATTAAATGAAGAAAATGAAACTTGCACTAGATTTCTATGCCTGGTTACTAACAGTTCTGAGTTGTAATCCTGACATTTAATGAAGGTTACTATTTAAAAGTAAAATAAACAATTTAATACCAGCATGTCTTGATGGGGAGGAAAATAATTCATATACATGAAGATTCAACCAAACAAATATTATTTAGACATACATGTATTTATAACAAATATTTGAACTTTCACTGGTATGTAATGCCGTTGTAAGACAACTTTCAGGAATAATTAGTGCAAGCGGGGTAAAGTAACTAGCCCCATGTGTCGATAATGCCTCCAATACCCAGACAGTAAAAACAATGACTATTCCTTAACTCATTCACCCCTGAAATTTCACCATGTATTATTCCAACCTTTGAATTGGATGAGTTCAAATGTGCTTTTAGGGGTGAATGAGTTAAATAGCATCATTGCTTTGTCTACTTTTGATAGATAGGAGGTTCTAAAAAGGGTTCTGCATGATGACAGACAGGAACGTGTCTGTATGAATATCTAATATGAAACTGTCTTGAATTGATATTCGAGGTGTCGATAACCCCCCCCCGTCTTTTGCTCTACCAGTAACTGAAGTCACAGAACAATATAACACTCTAACTTTAGTGATTAACGATTCCATCTCAACAATCAAGTGATTAGCTAGTCTACTGTGGAATAAATCAAATATGTTTAAACATTTAAAGTTCTGCAATTAAATAATGTAAGTCCAGTTGTGTGGTCCTATGATACAAGCCCACTAGTTTTGTAAGGTTTTTACAATGAAATTGTAGCATAAACAGAAGTCCAGCCAATATCGGTGTCAACGTACATGTAAATGCCCCTTTTCATTAATCACCTTAGTTTAGGCCATTCTTCAAAATCATATATATATATATCATAAATCAGAAAAATGATCCTTACGGATGAAGAAATATAAAAGAAAAATTCTCAACAACGAGTCTTTAGTACTTTCATCTCTTCTAGGAGATTCTTCAGACTGTTTATTTGAAGTATATATATATATATCACTTTATCTCACAAACCCCTTCATTTTTACATCTTGCATGGTATTTTAACATCAAATTTTGTGTTTGATCCAATCTTGATGTTCAAATGTCGGGATTAAAAAGTGAAAAGTCACACTTACTAACCTCAGAAATAAAAAACTTGTTTACAAAATATATAACAGCTACTCATCAGATTTAGTTCATATGTACAAATCATATTTCACTACTAATTGGGGGTTGGGGTCTATCTATTATGACCCCCGCTAAATCCATTTACATTGCCGAAAACTCTCTTCAAGTTGGGCAGTATGATAAGACTTCATTGCATATTAAGTTACTTCCATAATGAAAGTTTTATTAAGATTTGCAAGCGATTACTAAGAGGAATGTCTTTACTATATTTAATTATTTGCATGCTTTCTATGAGGCTTCAATCTCTTATGTTCTCTACACCCCTGGAAGATGACGTGACGAAATCAAAGGCTTTGTTTCTGTATGTCTTTTGGATGTGTAGGTAAGCTACTTTGATAATGGAGACACGGTAGTCTAGTGGTAGGACGCCGGGCTCATGACTGAAGGGTTGGGGGTTCAAGTCACATCACTGTAGTATCCTTGAGCAAGATACTTAACTCTGCTTGTCCCAGTCTACTCGGCTATGAATGAGTATGTGGTTGGGCAGTGCTAGAATTGTTGAAAGCTAGCTGTGAGCGCCGAAATGGCAGCACTGGCTGTATCCTCTCCCAGGGAGTTGAGAAAGATATTGGCTGGTTGCAAAGGCCCTATAACCACGGATAATAATTTGTGAACCGCTTTGAGACATCCTACGAACAAGGTTGTGATAAAACGGTATATAAGAAACTCCAATCATTATTATTATTATGATCGAAAGTATGGGAGGCAGCATAATAATAAAAAACGGTATATAAGAAACTCCAATCATTATTATTATTATGATCGAAAGTATGGGAGGCAGCATAATAATAAAATTGACTGGCTTTTAGTTCCGATGCTGTTCCTCTGTAATCTTCAAAGCAATTTATTTTTTTATTTTTTATATAAACGTAACAAAATAGCCAACTGTTTGCCTTTGATTAGATGTGACGTATCACAGAGGTGCAGAGAATGCAAGAGAGCATGGCCCCAGAGTTTTGAGGACGATGCTTTCAGGTACAGCAGATCAAGTATTGGTAATGACAACCTTTTGTTTCTATTTTGTTTTGTTAAATGCACAAATAAGATTTATTGAAAATTTAAAAGTAAATATTCCTGGGATAGAAATATTATAAATAAGTAATAAAGATAGAAGTATATATATAAAAATGTTGTAAATTTACTGACTAGATTTCCTTTTTAATTGTAAATATTAATTGATAGATAATTATAGTGTAAATATGTATAATAAAACACTGTATATAGTGTAAATAAATAATTCTAGCTGGTCTACAGTGTAAATATTCAGTGTAATATAAGGTACTTACTGACCTGTGTAAATACTGTACATATCCGCTTGCTATGCTCAGTGTATAAAGTGAATATAGTTCTGGTCGTCGGCTGGTATATACATACAACTGTACTGTGTAAATTACGATCATCATATACTGTGTTAAGAGTGTTTTTAACCCTTTCAACCCCATGTAACTTAAGTAGACTCTATCATGCATTGATCTGGATGAAACCATTTTGGTCTACAGTGGTGAAAGGGTTAAAAAGGTCTCTTGGGTATCAATGTAATAGCTTTCTGTAGCCATTAATATCTATTTTTCTGTTGATTCGTGAAAAGCTGCATGTGTCAATCTAGTCCGAAAAAATTGTCTCCTCTTTAGGAATTTCCTAATTTGGTGCTCCATCAACAGTTTTTTTAAGGAAGAGATAGTAATTTCAGACTATTGGTTATAAAATACATGTTGTTCAAAGTTGATTAAATTGATTTACGATGCAAGATTCCCATGTTGATTGTACTTTAAACAAAGGGCTATTCCAGAAATGAGTGTGCGAGGAGGGTCCCCCCCACCGCCTGTAATTACCTTTTTTACATGAAGCCAAATATACAAACATCAACAGTAATTTTAAAACTCACCAACTTTGAATTTTCTTATCTAGCACAACATTATATAATATTGGCTGGTTGCAAAGGCCCTATATGAATATTGTCAACCTGAGAAAACCATTGTCACCCGAGGCGAAGCCGAGGGTGACAATGGGGTTTTGAGGGTTGACAATATTCACTGTCACCTGCTAATGAATGTCATATCTATTTTGTTACACCAAAAGTCTTTGAAGCTCAGAAACGGCAGCAAACCTCGATAATGACATCTTGTTTGCTGATAGTCTGCTGTTTACAATCGCTATCGCACCGGCGCTTGATAAAATTGTCGGTTGCCGTCAAACATTCTTGTGACCATCACGGTGGGGAAACAAAGCGGTGAACGCACATTTTTCACGCATGTGATATTTTTCACTGCCTCATGGCAATATCACCAGCGCCCCTTTAAACCAATGTATTTTCGGAGGGTGACAGAGATTTTGTTTAATTTTCTCCCAACCAATCAAATAGCTAGAAATTCACTTGAGGTGTAACAAATTAAAATGCCTTATGTCATTCAAGGGAGAAGTGGCAGGAATCCTTATTGCATTCGACTGATGTATTGAATCGTGAAATTGTCTGTATTGTTTCACCGATATATATATAGATATATATATGTATATGTCTTAAAATGTGTTTTTTAATTATTGTGTAGACTGTATATAGGGAATTATAGTGTTTACTAAAATAAAAAATATATTTGAGTGAGTTTTATAGACATGTACTGGTACATCTACTCAAAGTGTGAAGGTTTTCAGATTTCACTTCAGTGGGTTGTTTGTGGTAATTGATGTACATATAACTCATAGTTATAAATATAAAGGTTATATGTGGTAGGACTGCAACCATGTATCCTACCGTATCTCCATACTTTCTCATGTAATGTATCGAAATGTTTTGTTTGCCTGTATTGCGA